GCTTCTTGGGAGCTATCCCTGCTGCTGTGTGTGGTGTTTCCCTGGCCTCTTCCCCGTGCGTGAGGCTATGGCACCGAGCTGCTGCTGGCTTTGTTGCTGTCAATTTGGGCTACTGCTTGAGGCTAGCGAATGGCATCCCCCACTAGCATGCTGCTCCTTATGCTTCATCTACAGAGTATCGAGCAGCAGCAAGAAATCTTGTTGGAACCTTTTTATTCGGATCAAACTGCTGTTGTTTTCTGCTATGGATTTCATAATACAGTGAAGAGGAAAGCAAAGTCACAGAGACAGAGAATGAGAGCGCATAGCAATATTAATGAGAAGATAAGAACTGGAACCTGTGGGGGAGAAAGCACCACGTTTTCAATTAAGAACTGACCACTAGTTTTTTCAACTAGGTGTCCCTTTTCTATGTTGTAAACAAATGGTATTTTTCTGCAAACTACAAATGTACATAAAAAATATAAATTCAGTTGTGATTCAACTATGTGTGATGCCTTTTTAGAGAAAACAAATTATGGAAGTCCATATAATGATTCTGAGAGAGTTCAAACTACGTGTGTGTGTGTGTGTGTGTGTGTGTGAATACTTTGACGTCCACCATTTTTTTATTGAAATTCCACAGAAGAAACTGGACGTAATTTATCATTTGTTAAAAAATGAATCTAAACAGAGGCACTACTTTCTCATAAGCGAATGAGATTTCAGATAAAAAATATAAATAAATTGATCTATTGTACCACTGTGTATTTTTCTATTTTATTTATTTATTTTCTGAAGGTCAAGAAGTTGTGTTTGAGAAGGTCAAGTTAAAATATTATTGCCTCGTAGATTCATCTCTTCACAAGATGTACCACTATTTTTCTCTTTCTCAAAAAGTGTCTTTTCAACATAAAACAAATCCAAAAGCCCCAAGAAAATCATGGCAAAAAATATAGAAAGTCCAGAGAGGTTGGGGACAAGGGTTCAAAGAGGATTTCTATAGTGAATAATTTTTTATTCCTACGCGATGTACCTTGTTGTTTCTGGATGATGAACATTTCTGTAGTCATATAAAAGAGAATACAGAGAAATCGATCTATTTTTGTGCTTGTACAACCATGTATTTTTTATATTTTTTATTTATTTTCCTAAAGCCAAGAAATTGTGTTCGAGAAGGTCACGTTTGAGGTAGTTCATGAATTGTTTGTTCAATACAAAATGTATGTAAGTACGTCTCCTATCAAGAAAAAGGCCAAGGTATATTATTAAAAGTTAAAGCAACTATGATTTTTGTTCTAGAAATACATCCAAGATATACAAAGTAAAAAAAGGAATTGTGAGCCACGTTAAATTGTTGTTTCTTATTTTAGCTAAAAGAAATATATAGTTCAAAGCACTAAAATTAAATAAAAACACTCACATCGTGGTAGTTCTATTTCATCATGCGTGAGAGTCCAAAACGAATAGTTCTTGAAAAGTGCACATCCAGAAGTGCGTTAAAAATGCCCACAGAATGTTCATATACGATATTTGCAAAAAGGTCAAAATATGAAATGCAAAAATAAAGTTTGTACATGAATAAATTCATATCGTCTCATGTAATTTTCTTTTATCAAATATAAAAATGGTTAGATGTGTGTGAAAAAATGTTTAGTTTTTATTTTCCCCAATCATAACAAAAAAGAAAACTCAAAAGTTCAACTTTAATAAAATGAGTAGTTCAAACTTTACTTATTTTCTAAAACCAAGAAGTGCAAATTTAAAAAATGGAGTGGTATGATGTTTATAAAAACTCAGATTTTACTCTTTACAAAAATCCACCGAAATGTTTCGTTATTAAAGTGGTTTGATTTTTATTACAAGACTAGAATATTTTTCTCCTACCAAGAAATAAAACCAAAAAGTCCAAATTAAAAATATGGAGAAGTTCGATGATTATAGAAACTATGATCTTCATCGTTATTTAAGAATGGAAACAAGAAGTTCAAAATAAAGTGAAGCAATAGTTCGATGTATAAAAAATGGAAAATCTGAATCTGTTGATGGGAAGAACATAAGAAGTTCACACGACAATAACACAATAGTACAAAAACAACAAAGCACTTTGAAACAGATATTTCACCGTTTCTAATAAAAAATAAGAAGTTCAAATTTTAAACATAGAGCAGTTCAAAAAATCAAAAAAACATGATTATCACCATTTCTAAAAAACACTATAGAAGTTCAAATTTAAATAACTGAACTGTTCCATATTTATTACAAAACTAGGATTTTTGCCGTCACTGAAAGAATAAACCAAGAAGTCCAAATTACAAAAATAGAGAAGTTCGATATTTATAAAAAAACTCAGATTTTCCTTGTTACTAAAGAATAAAAACAACAAAGTTCAACTTAAAAAATAGGAGTAATTCGATATATACGGGAAACTCAAATTATTACTGTTTCTTTGAAAAATAAAACTATGAAGTTCAATTTTAAAAAAGAATGTTTGATGCTTATTTTAAAACATATTTCCTTTCTAAGAATATGACTAAGAAGTTGAAATTAAAATAACAGAGAAGTTCGAAGTATATAAAAAAAACTCAGATTATTTTGTAAGAAGTTCACGTGCACCTCCGTGCACGGTTCAGAATTTATATTGAGGCACGTCCGACCTGCAATTACATGTTTTAAAATGGCAAAAAATGACGTCTGGTTTCCAATTGCATGTAATTCGACGTATACTCAAAAATGTGATAGAAGTTCATAGTGAAAATAACAAGAAGTTCAAGTACTGCAAGGAATGCATTTCCTCTGAGAATAAAAATATAGAAAAATAAATGCTTAAAAGGTTTGTTGAAAGAAGTTCAGGTGCTCTGTCCCGGGAAATTCTAAAATTCTTCCGAGAGAGGTTCACCTTGTATTTCCATGTTCAAAAACACAAAAAAGAATTTGCTTTTTGCCTTTTAAAATAATTCTCTCAATCCACGAAGAAGTTCAGTTATTATTTGGGAGCAATTTGATTTCAGAAAGAAAACAAAAATTTCAAATTATAAAAACGGAAAAAGTTCATTTACTACATGGTGTGTGTTTAATATGAGAAAAATGAATAAAAAGGCAAGGTCCAATTTTTTAGTTGCTATAAGTTCAAGTCCTCGGTCGGAGAAAGTTAAAAAAATATATTGTGAGCGAGGTTTGTCAAAAAATGAATACCATTTGTGTAACACCGACGAATGGATGAGAAATCAAACGAAAATACGTCACAGAAGTTCAACGTGAAAACAACAGAAAGTTCAACTACTACACTGAATGAATTTCAGATGAAATTTTTTTACAACCGTTGTGAGTATGAAAAAATGATCAACCCGAGAAAGTTGCGTGTTTACAGCAATTTTCCATTAATATATCACTTGCTCAATTCCGGTGAGTGGATGGAGAGCTACGAGCAGTGAATGGAGAGCTACAAGCAAAAAAACACGTGAAAAACATAGTGAAGTTCAAGTAGACATGTCGAGAAGTTCAAGTTCTACACGTGATGCATTCTCGAAGAATCTGTTTTGTGAGAAAGGCAGAACGAACGATCTCGCCATTTTCGAAATTACTTGAAAACGGCTAGGAATTAGAGAAAACCATCAACATGAAAATGTTTCGCATTTTCTGTAGCTTTCAACAGTATATTATTTGCCCCAATCGATAAAGTTTCTAGAAATTACGACTAAAAACATTTTTAGCCATTTTCAAAATTGACTTAAAATAGTAAGGAATTGGGAGAAAATAATAGATACAAGAAAGTATCGCATTTCATCAAGCTTTCCAACGCCTCATCATTTGCTGCTTTCAGACATACGGTTCAAAAATTAGCTCGAAAATACAAATTCGCTAGAACTTATATCGTTTTCTAAATTTCTTTTAAACCGTTCAAAATTAGTAAAAAACTTTCAACATGAAAAAGTAGCGCATTTTCATAAGCTTTCCAACGCCATATTGTTTGCCTCAATTAGATTAGCCGTTTAGAAATGCCATGGAAAATATGAACTCGGCTGTTCGGTTTGCGAAATTTTATGATTTTCCAAATTACTATTTAACCATAAGGAATTACGGAAAACTATCAACATGTGGAAGGAGCGAATTTGCAGCAGCTTTCCAACGCCATATTATTTGCCTCATTCCGATAAACGGTTTAGAAATGCGATCAAAAATACGATTCACGACATTTATATGAAGGAAAAACAGTTTTCAAAACAACTCTTAAACCGCTTACATTTTGCAAAAAAAATCAACTTGGGTCATCATAGTCGTGTCCATAGCTTTCCAACCATATATCGCAAGCCCCATTTGGACACTTTTTAGCTGAAGTTCAACCTAATACTCAGGGAAGGTCAAGCGCGTTACTCGGAAAGTTCATGTTGTGATAAGAATATTATTCTGATCCCGTGATCAGAATAGTATTTATAGCTATTTGGATCAGAATATATATATAGTAGCACTATTCTGATCCTGGGATCAGAATAGCTATTTGGATCACGATCGGCCGTACATAGGTGCGATGGAGATGTTCCTCGATCCATAAGGCTGCCCACCCGAACTTCTAGTAAAAGAAGAAAAAAAATCCCTCGACGCCCACCTTATCCACTCCCCCCCGCATCCTCTCACAATCCTCCCCGACCGACCTCCCGCCGCCGCCTCCCTGGCTTTGGCGCGCCTCTCGTCGCCGTCTCCCTGGCTCCGGCAAGCCTCCCGTCGCTAGCCCCACGACACTGGTGTGCTTCCCGCCGCTACCTCCCTTAGCCCCGATGCGCCCCGCCCCCACCCACCCTGGCCACGACGCGCCTCCGCCACCGCCCTTCTGGCCCAGATGCTCTCCTGCCGCCTCCCTCCACCTGCTTCGATGATGGTGCCGGCCACCTCCACCTTCTTCCACCGCTGCATCGGCCACCCCCACCTTCTTCCACCACGGCGCCGGCCTCCCCCTCCTTCGACTGCGCCGCCAAGGCCTCTATGTTGAGCTTCGCCGCTGGAAACCTTCCCTGCCGCTCAGTTCAACTTCGTCGGCCAACGCGGTCCACCACGTCGCCTGGATTCCAATCCAACCCGCCGTCCAACACGGACAAGTTCCTCCATCCATTATCTTGACCAAAATCAGATCCAAGGTCAAGATTGGTTCCAGAAACACGGCTTCTTTGTCTTGAGCAAGACAATGCACATACCTGGGCAGTGTTCAGTACCACATTCTTGCAGTCAGGAAGGATGCTGACGGACCATGCAGGGAGTTTATACACCTTGCCGTTGAAGGTGACAGTCTTGTCAGACTGATTGTCTATATTCACGAGGAATGTCGCGCATAGTGAGCCGGTCTTGCATACGTGCGCCTGAAGCCAGAAGAAAAATGCAGATACCATCATCATCGTTAAGCACAATAGGTGAGAGCAGACCATAAAGGTACGGACATACATTATCATTCCTTAGCAAGATTTGCTCCGCGACGCTGATTGATTTGTCTTTCTTTTTCTCGTTAAAACAGAAGTTGCTTTGATTTGTCTCTCTTTTCGTTAAACAAAAGTTGCTTTTGTGGAAAGCGGATTGTGTACCTGCAAATTGTCGCCAGCCAACGCGGTCCACCATGTCGCCTGGATTCCAATCCAACCCATCGTCCAGCATATCGACGCCCCCCAGGTCCATCCTCTCTCCATCTCGCTTACCTGTTGTTCCCTGCGACTGTACTATGCCCAGTTTCTTTATTGCTTCTAAGTGACTTTCTTCTCTGAAGTTCAGACACATTTGCAGGTGCAAAAAAGTTAGATGTAGTGATATGTTGGTTCAGTTTCACAGGTACTTCAATATTGGGGAAAAATGAGTCTTCTTCTCCAAAATGCAACAACGTCGTGAAGTGCTAAATTCTTCTTGTGTGCTTCTATAGAGTCTTGTGTTTCAGTGACCACCATGACGAACCATCTCAGCCTATTTTGCAGAAGCAAGTCACATGATAGTTTTTAGGCGGAATGTATTTCACAGGTAATAGGAAATCAAGGTCCAGAGAGATTTTTTAGCACATTCAGAGAGCTTTTTTAGTGCACTGCAGCCAAACCCATTCTGAAGGCCAGACTTATGATGTTTGGTTTTGATTTTATTTTACAAACGAAGTTGTTAGCAGCAGTAGATCTTGGGATTTGGGCACACAAGGAAGAAGACGAAAAGAAAAAGGGTGAGTTGGAGATTGCATGTTCTTTGCTCAGAAGGATAAGATCCTTTTTGGTTTTAGCTAGAGAACTCCTAGTGGGGTAAACAAGCAACTTAATGGTTTGCTCTGTTTAATGGTCTGCTTCACAGACTAAATTCTTCATTGTTTCTTTCTGTATGAGCATTAGACTTGATTTAAATGTGAAGCGGTTCGCTGACAGTAATTTTGCCAGTTCAATAATATATGCACAAGTTGACCTCCTAGCGATATATATGCATAGGAATTTTGTTCTCCGTTTTGTTTATTGGTGCATGCGAGATGTTTTGCATGTTATGAACATATTGGTTCGCGAGAAGTTCATGTACGACTACCGAAGGAGTTCAAAAAGCACTCATCACGAAGAGAAGAGGTGAGCAGCGCACTGGCCGTTCAACTTCGCCACCTCAGGTCGTGCAACTCCGCCCATGTGAGCAAAGGGGGACTAGTTTCTTCTTAACTGTTTATTCTGCACTTGTACGGTGCATTTTGTCTCAGTTTTTAGGTGAATTTTTTTGCTTCACTTACATTGTGTTCAACAGGGTACAAAAGTTTGCCTACAAACTGTTCTTGTATGTCTGTAAGAGATGATGTTGTGCTACTGCCATGAGAAAATGGAGCTTTTTTAGAGTTGTTTTTCTGTAAGTACATGTGAAGACTTCGACATGTAAAAATGGAGCTTTTTTCATAGTGAAAAGTGGCATTTTTGGTGTAATTTTGTTGTTTCTCTAATCGGCATGTATACAAATTCGCAAACATGTGCATAATTGACCAGCTACTTTTTGAGATAAAGCTAGTAGGTAATGAGTGGTAAAAAGAACACATAATTTGCAAAGAAGATAAACTTGGGGCTAGAAGGACACGGGCTGGAAAATTTCTTCTCGCCTCTACAGTGTCCTTCTCAAGCACCATGTGCCCAGGATGAAAATTCTCAAGCACAATGTGCCCAGGATGAAAATTCTCAAGCACAATGTGCCCAGGATTGTGTCTGTGTGCTCCTGCTCCGGTGTGCATTGTAAAAACGAGGAAGTTCAGCCTTATCCTCATGAAGGTTCAGTGTGTGTGCCAGTTGTACGAATTCACAATTTTTTTAAAAAAGATATACTTCAGTTGTGTGTGTTGTGTGTGTGTGTGTGGGGGGGGGGAGGGGTACTAAATACGTTTTGTGGGTGGGAAGTTCATAGTTTCGATCGTTGATAGTTCAAAAAAAACCGTTTCGAAAAAACAACACACCTTGTGGGTCCAAAAAGAGAGAGTTGAACACATGAAAACTATCAGTTGACGACTGAACATTGCGAAGCCAAGGTTGTAGAAAAATGTTCCGTTCTAAAACATCATGTAACTAGAAGTGAAAAGTAAAAAAAAAATGAGAAAAGACAAAATATGTACACTTATTAAAAAATAGAAGTTCAAATTAAAATAGCGAAATAGTTTGATTGTTTATTATAAAAATGGGATCCCCCCCTTTACTAGAAATAAACCAATAAGTTCAAATATAAAAAGCAGATCGGTTCAAAAATTATACAAAAAATGGTATTTTCCAATTTGTAGAAAAAAACTAGAGGTTCAAATTTAAATTACGGAGAAGTACAATGTTTCTTAAAAACCTCACAAGTTCAAATCAAAAAAATAGAGTAGTTCCAAAAGTTTGTAAAAATAGTTTGTCCCTTATTTCCATAAAAAACTAGAAGTTCAAATTTAATAACGGAGCGGTTCGACGTTTATAACAAAACTAAGAAGTCCAAATTACAAAAATATAGCAGTTCAATATTTAAAACAAACTCAGATTTTCCTTGTTAGTAAAGAAATAAAAACAAGAAGTTCAAATTAAAATAATGGAGTAGTTCAATATATACGAAAAACTAAAATTCTTTTCGTTCGTATAAAACTAAAAGTATGAAGTTCAATTTTTTTTAAAGTTTGATGCTTATTTAAAAACCATATTTTTTTCCAACAAAATAAAAGTAAGAAGTTCTAATTAAAATAACAGAGAAGTTGGAAGTTTATAAAAAATTAGAATAACAGATCATTTCATTTTCGTTGTTAAACCGAGAAGTTCTAATTATACTCACAAAGGAGTTCAATTGTAATAAAAATGGATTTTTTTTTGTTTCCAGAATGGCAAAAAATGACGTCCAACCTTCAATTGCATGTAATTCGATGTATACACAAAAATGCGACAGAAGTTCATAGTGAAAACAACGAGAAGTTCAAGTACTGCAAGGAATGCATTTCAGGTGAGAATAAAAGTGTGGAAAAATAAAAACTTAAAAGGTTTGTTCAAAGAAGTTCAAGTGCTCTTTCCGGGGAAGTTAAAAAATTCTTGCGAGAGAGGTTCAGCTTGTATTTCCATGTTCGAAACACAAAAAAGAAATTGTTTTTTTTGTGTTTGAAAAAAATTCTCTCAATCTACAAAGAAGTTCAGTTATTATTTGGGAGCAATTTGATTTCAAAAAAAGAAAATAAAAAAATCGAATTATAAAAATGGAAAAAGTTCATGTACTACATGGTGTGAGTTTAATATGAGAAAAATGAATTAAAAGGCGAGGTCCAAAATTGTTGTTGTTATAAGTTCAAAATCCTTGGTCATATAAAGTTAAAAAAATTATTTTGATAGAGATTTGTACAAAATGGATATATTTTGTGTAACAGTAATGAATGGATGAGAAAATTACAAACAAAAATACGTCACAGAAGTTCAACATGAAAACAATAGAAGTTCAACTACTATGCTGAATGAATTTCAAATGGAATACTTTTAAAATCGTCGCGAGTATGAAAAATTGATCAACACGAAAAAGTTGCGTGTTTACAACAACTTTCCATCGGTATATCACTTGCTCAATTCCGGTGAGTGGATGGAGAGTTACGAGCAAAAAAGTACGTGAAAAACAGAGTGAAGTTCAAGTAGACATGTCCAGAAGTTCAAGTTAGTCACGCGGTGCATTTTCGAAGAATCTGTTTTGCGATAGAGGCAGAACGAATGATCTCGCCATTTCCAAAATTACTTGAAAATGGCTAGGAACTAGAGAAAACCATCAACATGAAAAAATTCGCATTTTCTGTAGCTTTTCAACAGTATATTATTTGCCCCAATCCGATAAATTTTGTAGAAAATACGGCAAATATACAATTTTAGCCATTTTCATATTTTTCTTAAAATCGTAAGGAATTGGGAGAAACAATATATACAAAAAGGTTTCGCATTTACTCAATCTTTCCAACGCCATATCATTTGCTGCATTCGGACGTACGGTTAAAAAATTAGCTTGAAAATACAAAGTCTGTGGTACTTCTATTGTTTTCGGAATTACTTTTTAACCGTTGCAAATTAGAAAAAACTTTTAACATGATAAAGTAGCGCATCAAATGGATTAGCCGTTTAGAAATGACATTGAAAATACGAACTCGGCTGTTCGGTTTGCGAAATTTTACGATTTTCCAGCTTACTCTTTATCCACAAGGAATTAGAGGAAACTTTCAACATGTGGAAGGAGCGGTTTTGCAGCAGCTTTCCAATGCCATATTATTTGCCCCATTCTGATAAACGGTTTAGAAATGTGAACGAAAATACGATTCATGTTTTTTGTATGAAGAAAAACGGTTTTCAAAACTGCTCTTAAACCGCGTAGCTTTTGTCAAAAATTTAACTTGCGTCATGATACTCGTGTCCATAGCTTTCCAACGGTATATCGCAAGCCCCATTAGGGCAATGTTGGGGGAAGTTCAACCTAGCACAGGGGGAAGTTCAGGTCGAACAACTCGGACAGTAAAATTGCAACAGAGGCATGTTTCATGACGACCCGAGAGAAAATCCGCCAATGAGCAAGATTCATATTTAAAACGGGTATTTAGTTGCTAGAAATAGTTTGCAGATTGCACTTACATCACATAGAACACGTCTAACCAGAAAAATTCGCGTAGGGAGACATGGTTGCGAAGATAGCCCGAAGGTTGGGTTCATACAGAGGAAAGTTCAGGCGTGTAACTCAGGAAGTTCTGGTTGTGATCAAAATATTATTCTGATCCCGTGATCGCAAATATATAGGATCGCGCTATTCGTCACCCTGGGTGAGGAATAATTATTCTTCACCCCCTGTCTATTTTGACAACTATGCATGTATTTTTACATTTCGTAAATTTTGTCTTACTTCGTACATAAAAAGATAATGTAAGAAAATATGGACTCACAGAAAAATATATTTTATGTTACGTAAAACTACGAATGTAAAAACATAGTGTAAAACATACATAAAATGTGATTGTTCTGGTCTTATAACCTATATTTTTGTTTTTTATACCAAATTTTACATACTGAATCAATATGCATGTAACTATTTATATTCTAAACATAATTTATTTAGAAAGCGGTCGTAAGATTACCTCGGATGAAGAATAACTTATTGTGCACCCTGGGTGATGAATAGTAAAACTATATATATATATATATATATATATATACATACATACATACATACATACATACATACATAACTTGTAAGAGAATTACATACATACATACATACATATATAACTTGTAAGAGAATTACATCGTATACCTCAA